GGCTTTGGCCCTTCTAGTTTTCTCCTTGCAAAAAACCTCACAATGCCCTTCCAGTCCTCCTGAGTTTGCTGCCCCTTCTTCTGAAGGTCATAAACTCTCCTTTATTTCCCTGAGTTCCAGACAAAGATCTGTCCTCATCTTTCAGCCTGCTCCTGTGCTTTGAAGATTTCCTGCTTGAAGAGTGTCCAGCCTTCCCGGACCCCTTTGCCCTTCAGGACTGCCTCCCAAGGGACTCTGTCAACCAGGCTCCTAAACAGGCCAAAGTCTGCCCTCTGGAAGTGCAAGGTGGCGGTTCTGCTGACCCCCTCCTCACTTCTCTGAGAAATGAAAACTCTTTTCATGATCACTATGCCCAAAACGGCCTCAACCATCACATCACCCCCCAGTCCGTTTCTGCTCACAAACAGGTCCAGAGGGGCTCCCTCCCTAGTTGGCTCCCTCACCAGCTGTGACAGGAAGTTCTCTATCTCCCACACACTCCAGGAACCTCACGGAGTGTTTCCTCCCTGCTGTACTGTATTTCCAGCAGTCCTCTGGTGAGTTGAAGTCCCTCATGGGAAAAAGGGCTAGTGATTGGGAGACTTCTCCCAGCTGCTTATAGAATATTTTATCTGCCTCTCCGTCATGGTTGGGTGATCTGTAACAGACTCCCTCCATGACATCTGTCTTCTGGCCTTCCCCCTGATGCTTGCTCAACCCTTTCATCACCACTGTCAAGCTCTAGATAGTCAAAATGCTCTCTCCACTGCTTCCTTCCTTCCCTATCCCTTCGGAAGAGTTTATAACCATCCATTGCAGCACTCCAGCTATGTGAGTCATCCCACCGTGTTTTCATGATTGCTCCTGTATCACAGTTTTCCAGCTGCACAGTGGCATCCATCTCCTGTTGGTTGCCCATGCTGAGTGCGTTGGTGTAGATGCACTATGTATACTCAGAGCTGTAGGACAGAGACCTGCAAGCCTGTACACGCTCTGCTAGGACAATGTTTGCTAATGGAAGTTCACTTACTGGTGTCAAATTTCAGCAGAGATACCCTACAGTCTATTCCTTCTAATTAATTTTGATGTTAATGAGTTACCAGAGGTTAAATGTTTGCTTGAACTCAGAGAAGAAACAGTCATAAAATAACGTCATTTTCTGTAAACACTTCACTGCTTGCCTTCCTCGCCTGCTAGCTATGCGGATTGTTTATTGATAAGGGAATTGAGAGACAAGAGAATTCACCCAGTCATTAACGGTCTGAGAAGGAGAAAGACACCCTGAGTGTAGGCAGAGTTTAACTGAAGTCAGTGGTCAAAATGTTCCTGTCTCAAAGTCAAAAATAACCAGGCAAGAATGAACACGAACAGTATTGCTCAAAGGGAAATAATTGTTCTCTTTGGATATGTCATGAATTTTTCCTGTCCTTAAGTGCTAAATTGGTTTCTCACCACAAAAAGCAGTTTGTGAGCTGAAGTTCACAGGAGAAGTTCACTGAGCTTTTTTGGTTCTAAATAAATGAGAAAGAACTTACACTGATTGGAAGTCTGTTTCTTTCTCTTGTAACCACTTTTATTCCTTGCCCTTGTTCTGTATGTTCCGTGGCTTTCTGATGCTGTCCTTTATCCTTCCTGCTGTATAATCTGCTTGTTAGGTCAGACAAGGAGCAGCTGTAAGCAGCCGGGGAGGTGGCTGTTTCACAGCCTGCTGTGTGCCAGTTGGCCAAACAATGTGTGCATGATGATTGCAGCTGCTTACTGCCTGTTGGGATGAATAGGGAATTTGTTGCAAGTGTTTTTCCTTATGGAGGCACTTATGTACTTCCAATTTTTCTGGCTGTTAGTTTTCACAGAACATGGAGGAACTGTGTTTATTGTGATCTCTCCTCTCTGGTCAAGCTTAATACGAAGTATTAGGAGAATGTCAGAGAGATGAATACCACGCCAATTCTGTAAACCACCAATTTTTATGGAATGACACCATAATTTTAAAAATTTTGAAGTTACAAATTCCTTATTAGATTTGAATAACAAGCAATACTCAATTGAAAGTCCACATTTAATATGATTGTAAAAAAAAAAAGGTGAAAAGTGACTTGCAGGGGACTTTTAACATGCCAGGTTTGTTTGTATACTGCTTTTAAAAAATGGTGTTATAATTAGTTTTGGTGATCATCTCTAGAAATTACGAATTCTTCTTGAAAAGTAATTTTGTCTTTAAAATCCTGGCTGTTTCTGAAGTTCCTGAGTCCATTCATCTGAGTGTTACGGCCACCACAGTACTTTCTGAAGTCTCTCTCCCATCTAATCAACTATATTTAAGTGGGAACTATCTAAGGAGGCCAACAGGGATGAACGCTTGCTATCAAAACCTCAGCCATAGCACTTGGTGATTTAATCATAAAAATCATTTTGAATGGGAAGAATATGTAGCCAGAACTACATTACAGAATGAGTAAAAAAATGTCATCTACTTATTTTTGTCCTCAAATGTGAAGTACTTGTGTTTTATTGCTTAAATAGTCAACTGTCCCATGAAAATATTTTGTGTTTTAATCCAAAACTTCACAACTCTAAAATTCCTAAGTATGTGTGTTTCATTTATAAGTGGCTTAGTGATTTAGATTTTTAATTTTTGTTTTGGGTGTGTCTTTATGCAATTTCTAGGTAAATATGTTCCATATCTGAAAGATGAAATGGAAGTACCTTTAACTCCACCATGCAGACAACAAATATCATGGACTGATTTTCTGTGCACAGAACTTCAAGGAGAACCTATTTCTCTTTCCTGTAACAGGTAATAAAAACTTCGTTATAACAAATCCTGTCATAAATCCTCTAAGTCATAAATCCCCAAAATTAGTGCAAAAATAACTGTAGTCTATTTGGGAATCGGTAGTTATGTTCTTGGAGACAGTTGCATATATTTTGTCTTCTGCATGAAAGAGTGAAGAGAGTGCATGATCCACATCTGTGGCTTTTCAAGGGAGCATGAAAAAGGGAATGACAGTCACCACTGTGGTCCTCTTTCTCCTGGCAGACTTAACAGACTGAAAATCCAATCGCCTTTCTGGAGTAGGCAACAGTAAATATATATGTATATAGCAAGTATGTATTGGTGTGTATGCATATATTTATACATATGATAAACACGTAAGTTGAGGAAACATCACCTACAAAATCTCCAGAAAAGACAGAAGAAGAAAGTATTGTCTGTATGTTGGAGATATCCCCAACAGTGCGATTTAAGCCTTTTCATGCTGACACAGGATCAGGATTGCTTCTTCCTTTCCTTCTCAACCTGTTTTTGAGACTAGCATTTTTTGCCTTGCCATCCTTCTTGCATGAAGAATTTAAATATCATTTTGGGGAGGGAATCACAGTCTAGATAGAATTCTCATTTGGTGATGCTTTACTTCATGAAGCAGCCTTGATGGCTCCCCTCAGTCTGTCCTGTTCACCGTGGCATTGCATGAAGTGACCCTCTACATGGACAAGAAAAAAATTTAATGAATGAGTGAATGAATGAACTGAAAATTTAGAGAGACAGTAGGTCTTGAAAAGTTGTGATTTTTTATATAAATCAAAATTCAATAGATAATGCTGTAAAACTTCATACCTTCAAGTCTGTTTTTATGTTCTTCGTAGTATTTTGATTACAGAGCCCTCTAGGGAATACTTAGAATCTTTGGTATGGCAATCAGAGAAGTATCGGGATAATATGAACTCTTTTTTGATTGTCGGTAAGGATTTCTAATTGATGATTGATTTCTAATTGATTTTGAAGGGTTCTGTGTACATGGAGAAAAATAGCAAAAAAAGATGTTATGTTGCAGAGCTCTTTGAGCCATTGAAGTTTAACCAATTAACATAACCCTATGAAGTGTGGATTATCTGATTCTTTTAGTATATTTAAAAAGCTAGAGTATGGCAACATAGAAGTTGGTATGTCATGTATCATTCTATGGAGGTAAATTGAATGAATTGAGAGTTTTATTTCATTATGAAAACATTCACCTCAACACTACCAATTATATTCAATGGCTGTGGTAACTGAACTTTGGTGATCTGTTGAACTCTTTTCTGTGTGCTATTTTTCTTTAAATAATGCTTTAAAATATGTATCAATCAATAGAAAGGTCCTGTTAATGGAGAATAATATTATAAGATAATATGACAAGAGCAGAGTTCATGTTAAGAAGCAAAATCTATAAGCTGCAGGTTATTTCTGACAGCACCAGAATACCCATTACCACTGTTCTTTCATTTCATTTCACTTGCCTTCGTTTTGCAGATCTCAGGATTAAGTTACATATATTGACTTGTTATGTTGTCCAATTCATTCGTATACTCATTTATAGTTGAAAATAATGTATGGTAAGCTCATTACTACTTAAGTGGGTTTATTTTTCAGGTAAGGATTATGTTGAGTCTTCATAAGCACAACAAGTAAACCCACAGATAATGAGCAAGATCACTTGTAACTTTAGTAATGCAGCTACACATTATTAGATCCGAAAAAAAATTTAAACGCCCCCTTACTTGTACACTCACTAAGTAAAAAGCATAGTTCCTCTCCTAACATTAACTTTGATTTTAAGTCTATCAATGGGTACTGAGTTACAAATAGAAGAAAAAACAACAGAAACTTTCATTTCCAAAATCACATTCTGTTTCCATGTTTCTAGATGATTAATATCAAATGTTGATTTCTGCTTTTGTAGAACATCAGACTGTTAAACTTGCATATGAGCGTCATTCGCTTATAGAACTGCAGGAAATGCTTCCAGTCAAGGTAGAAGCACCAGTGCTTACCTCACTAGAGGAGGGCTGGTGGCTTCGTTTGGGTTTAAATCCAGCCTGCTTAGAAACTCTGGAGCAATTAAAAATGGATTCCAGTAACGCAGAGAGTCTGCTTCCTACAGAAGTAGATGTATTCACAAAACTTCAGTCATATGAGTTAGAAAGTAAGTAACTTCTTTTTTTAAAAAAGTGATGAAAAGGCAAAGATAAGTGCTTTAACAGAGAATCACACAGTGACAGTTACATGCCTCTAAGAAGGAAGGAAATGGAAGATTTCTTATTCCCAAGAACAAGATGTTTTATAGCAGTATGAAGTAACAGTGCTACTACACTTAAGGTGTACTATCACAAACTTAGAACAAATTGTAAGAACAAATGTGTTTAACTACTCAAAGTTATCTTTTCTATTAATGTGCAGATGAAAAGTAGCCTCCACCAGCCATACTTTTTTTTAATAAAATAGTTTCACACAGGAGAATTTCTTAACAAATGGTAATTTTGCTTTGGAATATTGTAACAAAGCACATGTTCATATAGTCTTCTCTGGGGAAGGTCAGTGCAGAGAGTGTGTTACAGCGAATTTTTTTTGTTTTGTGATGTTACTCAGAGGCTATGCTGGCTATGGTTTCAAATGTAGACCGGTCATAGACTTCAGAACTTTTCATGAACCATTACACATACTTACAGTCAAACTTTATATGAAAATGCAAGATGTTATTTAGATTTTATTATGTAACTATGGACGGACCGCAAGGCCCCAACTGTGGTTACAGAACTCCAAGGGTTGACAGTAACATGATATATTGTGAAACAAATAGGCACCACTCATGAAGACCGTTTCCAGCTTACTGCTTTTTGAGTATTGTATTTAGCTACTGTGTTTAATGTGCATGTGCAGCAGCAATGCAAAAAATTGCAGTTCTACTGAAGCATATCTTTAGAGGGAGCTAATTGCATGTTTTACTTCTTTTTCCTGCTAAAAAAAAAAAGCTGATAATCTTTTAATCTTTATTCCTAATGAAATGTGTTGCATCCCACTTCCTGGAAATCTAACACCAGTAAACACCATGCAGATGGTGAAAACCTCTAGCAGTAGTATGACCTTCTGTTTCTCAACACTGTACATTTTTACTTAGGACAAATCAGTACAAATTTTCTAACAACAGATTATAATGATCTGGGAAGGTAGAAAGAAGAAATTTAAAAATGCTTTCTCTATGATTATCCAAAATAGTTAACACTAACCAGGAGAAAGAAAAGAAAAATCTATGTTGCAGCAGAAAAATTAAATTCTATTTTTTAGGTTGTCTTGAAGAGAGGAATTCTGTGACAAACCAGGAACTGCTTTCTGCTAAGAGACATCAGTCGGACAAAGTAATTGATCTTTGCTTGTCACCGCAGACTCAAAGGCAGTACTTTGCCCTGCATACGCGTGCTGCATCATCTGCCAAAATTCACAGTACAAACACATCTGTGGAAAAGCATACCGCAGGAAGCATAAAAAAGAATAAGGTAGAAGAGGCAATTCATTTCTTAAACCAAGAAAAGAAACCCCCCAAATCTTCTGAATCAGTCAGCTGTAAAGACGTGTCTTCTAAACAAGACAACTCATCCAGGAGTCAAAACCCTGCATCATTTGGACTTGCCACAAAATGGGACGATGATTCTGATCTGAGCAACTTCATCATGCTGAGATCTAAACGTACACTCACCCAGAGAGAGGAAAAAACTGATGTAGATAGTCCTGAAAAAAGTACGTTAACAAGTTTATTCTGCCATTTTCCCAGGTTTAATTCTGTTTTCTTATGCCAGTTGCAATAGGTGCTCGTTCATTCTAGTAGGTTTATGGGGGGAAAAGTCCTTTTAAGTCAATGGTAGTATTTTTATGATCTTTAATGTAGCTGCATTTTCAGCTAAGAGTCTTACCTTTTGTTTTTTCCTTTAGATATGTTAGGGGATTTTGTTTGTTTTGGTTGTGAGGTGTGTTGGTTTTAGTCTTGAGGATTTATTTAATTTATTTTATGGTAGAAGTGTTTTTTAATAGAATAAACGTGAGTTTATTCCTATTCTGACAAAGTAACTCTAAATGGTACTTACTCCAGAAGATCTCTTCTGTCCTGAAATTCTGAATCAGATCTCCTAGCCTCTTTGGAGACATCATAGTTTTCAATTGTAGTTACCAAATTAATTGTAGTTATCAAACAGTAATTATCAATACTCTTAGCTTTGTAGAACCAGCATAACCTTGACAATAAACAAGACTCAAGTTCTTCTCTGGAAAGAACTATTTCAGCCAGTTACTTTAGTGCAAATCCCATCCAAGAGGCAGAACAGGTTTTAAGGAAAAGAGATAGTTGTTAGTACTCATGTTCCTGTTGCTGACAGTGATCGTGAGAGAATCTCAGGCTGTGTTGAGCATTGCAGAAATTCAAAGCAGCAAACAAGGCAAAGAAGTAAAAGAAAGTCCTTTTTTGCCTTAAAAAAGAAATATTTGTGACATAAAATATCAGGAGACAGTGATGTATTTCCAGATTCATTTTTCAAGATAAACTTGTATTAAAAATTATCTTTTTCATTTTTTGAGCTTGTATGGCAGAATTTTGACAAGAGCTTTTATCTGTGTTTCAGTTGTATGTCCCAGCACAAAAAGTAAAAGAAAAAAAAGTTACATAAAAGCTTTCAGCAATAATTCTTATAGAACAGGTTTGGGGTATTTATTTAACTGCAAGCTTATGTAATCTTTCGGAGAAAATTATTCCTTGGTAAAATTCATCTGTTACTCTCACTGGTAGACATGCATAAAACACTTCATGGCCTCAGAAAGCAACAATCCCAGTTTCAACAGTAGATCAAGGTACCTTGAACTGAAGTTTTATGCTACCACCTAGTGAAGTCTGTGTAGAATTGCATTTCCTGACAAGAAATCCAACTGGATTGAAAGACAAGGTGTTACAGTTACAGATAGGCTTGTGGAGGTTTAAGGAAGTTAAATGCAGTTTGGAATATGTTTGCAGGTAGACCCCAGTGTCACAGATCAGTTATGTCTGATATATGGGAACCCATTCAAATGCATAGGTCTTACTACATGGACATAGAGAATACGTTAATTACTGTATAGTTTTGCAATAATGAAAAGTTTGTACTAATGGTCATTCTAAATATAACTGAAAATAAGGAATGTTGCACTGCTACAAGGGCTCTTTGTCTATTGTCTTTGTTGTTTGGATTATTTTTTGAAGATGCAATTGTGTATAATATTTAGTTCAGAAAATACACAGAAGGGAAGTGGTAGAAACCGTTCATTGATCCAATTCTGAACCCTGTATAACTTTTCAAAATCAGGAAAGTTTTTTTAACTTAACTAGGAAAAAAAAGAAAATGGTTTTTTTCTTCTTTCTGTCTCTGCATGATCAGTTTATTTTATGAGGAAACTGACAAACTTAACTAGAAAACATCAGCAATATTTTGGAGACACCTAATCAGCCAGGATCCCCCTCAGAAGTAGAGGTAGAGCTGCCAAAGGAAGATCTGTGGGCAGAAGGTGTAGCTCATGCATCAGTAAAAGGAAGAAGAAAAGAAGATAGAAATACTAGCGAGCTGCAAAAGATAGCTGTAACACAGGAGATGTAGATGAGCAAATTCCCTTGCCTTGCCTTGCCTTGCCTTGCCTTGCTTTGCCGCTTGGCCTTTCCTTTCCTTGCCTTGCCTTACATTCCCTCCCTTCCCTTCTCCTCCCTTCCCCTCATGCTCATCTTTTTTATCCCTCTTTTTTCTCTCTGTTTCTTCCTTTTCTTCTTCTTCTCCTTCTCCTTATTCTTCTTCTGCCACCCATTTGCAGCTTCCATGTTCTTTCTTGGTCACTTACAGTATCTAATCTTTTCTACTCACGCTCACTAAGGTATTTTCATAGTTTGAGCTCCTTATAGTCAGCAGCATCCTTCCTCTCACAGATGTTTTTTCTCCACATAAAGGCATATGAGCTTTCCTATGGAGCTATGTTATAGAGTTATAGTGCCTGCTCCTTAATTTCCCCAGTTCTGTATCTCTGCCCTAAGGAAGAGGAACGTGATAATTCCTGACTTCTTGGGCTGTGAAGGGTGACAGGGCCTCATCTATCTCTGTGTCTCAATGGTTTTTCCACGCTGTATGAGCCCATGAAAACAATAAAAAGGTTCATTAAAAGAAAATGCATGTGTCATAGAAACTACTTAATTTGAAAATATTTTTGCATGTAGAGTCATTTATAGAAAAATTTTCTTATTTATTGAGGTGGTTTTGTGATATTTGTATCTAAATATTCACTTTTTTAATGATTTAGTGCTGCAGCCTGAAGAATCATATACACATGCTCACAAAGAGGAGAGTTCTGCATGTGACACTGTAAGAACTGAGAAGAAAGAACAAGAGAATGAGGATGGTGTCACAGTTGATATTCAAGCATCAGGTATACTATTTTTGGGTATGCTTTATCTTATATAGCTTTGCAATATAATCATATATTAAATACGACTGCTCAGACAAATACATGAATTATTAGGCTTCATCTCTACTTCTTGTGACTGAAAACATTCTGAATAGGTGGATATTTCTTTTGGCACATGTGTGAGTGCAGGCTATGGAATTCTGTCTGAAGACTAAAGCCAATTGCATGCAAACTAAAAAGTACAGACTTTGAGTTATGTCTGATCTAAATCAGCAGACGTGAAATTTCTTCCTGCCAATCGGTACCCTCAGATTATGATTCCTCATTTTGTTCTCTGACAGAGTAAATGAGAGAGTTGGAGATAGATGGGTCAGGCAGTCATTTTGGTAGGAAATGTCTTTGACACTGTAGTAATCCACTGTGGGTTTATCCCATACATGACTGAACATTACCCTGTGAACTCTTGCCGTTTTACTTTTGAAGGCATTGTATTAAGAACACACACTGACAGCAATTTTGTCATGCAGTAGAAGTGGTGGAGAAGAACTTAGAAGATATTTATCCAAGATATTTTACAGTCTCAAATTAAGGACGCCCAGTGCTAGAAAGTGGTAGGCCTAGCACGGATTAGTTTGGTTTTACGTGGAAATGTGTTCATTCCAACCATGTGCTTAGTGGGAGTCTCTTTCACAGAACCAGTGAAGGAGCAGAGCAGTATTTTCATCTGTTCCTATCTGAGATTGGAACCACGTGACAGCTATAAGTTTATTTTTTAATTAGTTGGGGGTTTTTTTAATTGGTTTTGACAAGACTCGTTTAATGCAACTGGAAAAAAAAATTAAAGCTTTTCTGCATTCAAAACAATAATTATCATTTTGCAAAGGTGGTATTTGTTGGGACTGAATGTTCTGTTACAGTCCTTGCAATATAGTGTGTTTCACCATGCCTTGTACATGGAGGAAAGGAATCTTTCTCAAAAATAAGCTACAGCCAAAACACAAGTATTTTACTTAACAGTGGAACTTTGAAGATGCTTGATTAGAAAGACACTTTAAATTAAAATGGTGCTTTAATAAAATGCCTGAATGAAATTATAAAATGGACGTCCAAAATAATGTAGTATCTGACCTATTTCTGTAAAGGCTGAAAAAATGGACATGATAATGCACCTTTTTAGAATGCTTAAAAGTATTCAGTTTTTAACTTTTTATTAAATAGTACATTGACTGTGTGAAGCTAAGTGATCAGCTAGTCAAATAACTTGTATAGATTAGTCAAAAATATTTTTGAAAAGTAATAGTAAATTCCAAAATAATGTAGTATCTGACCTATTTCTGTAAAGGCTGAAAAAATGGACATGATAATGCACCTTTTTAGAATGCTTAAAAGTATTCAGTTTTTAACTTTTTATTAAATAGTACATTGACTGTGTGAAGCTAAGTGATCAGCTAGTCAAATAACTTGTATAGATTAGTCAAAAATATTTTTGAAAAGTAATAGTAAATCTTTAAAAATAAAGAATTGCATAGTTCTGATCTTGTTGACGTGATTAACTCATCTGGATTTTTTAAAAATGGGTATGGAAGAGTTTTATCTTATCTGAGGAAAAGGACATCCCTTTCAGCAACTGACAGCTCTGTCAGAGTTGCTCATAGCAAGGAATTCAGTTGTAATTTGAAAATAACTGTAAAAAAGCCACCCAAAAGCTATTAAGAACTGTTAGTATGAAAGAACAGAGTTGAATAGATGTGCTTGTTTGGCCTTGCTAGGCAAAGACGTTAGAAGTTAAGTAGCATGGAAGGAGAAGGGCTGTTTAAGTGAAAGTTACAGTAACAGATAAAAAGGAACTCAGTGTAAGTTTAACTAAAAAGGAGAAGGGGCTGTAGAACCAGGGACTAATAGTACAATCTTAGTGGGAGTCACAGGAGTAGAAAATTCTAACTTTTCATCATGGAGTTTGCTCACTTTATGAAATGCATGGAATAACATGGCTGCCTGCTGGGAGGAGAAGCTTAGTTCTACCACCCTAGAGGCTCCTTGGTGAGCAACTGTTCAACTGATGTTCTATTAATGTTACCGTTTTCATGAAGAGGACAGGGTTCTTTGTGTTTTGCTAGGTCTTTTGAATATTCTTGTCCAATAGTAGTATACAAAACTAAACTTTATTATTATGTTTTGTTTATTACACTATCCAGAAAGCCAGTGCCAGGCATACTGCCTCTTGGATGAAGCAGCTATGCCTGTTCTAAAAGAGTTGACACGTCTGGGTGTACTTCCTTCTGTAAAATGGAGCTTTGACAGCATTAAATTTGATCACACGAGGTTTTTCTTAAAACAGCAAGAGAAAGTGACATGCGATCGTTTTAAAGAAGGTATGTCTTTCCAAAAAAAAAAATTTTTTTTTTTAATCTTCAGTACTAATACAGGTTTAATTAGTAACACAGGTTTCAAGATGTTAGATAAATTAATTATAAAACGTTCAGCAGTTTGTCTTATAGAGTTACAGTAATTGATTTCCTCTTTTATCTTCAGAATGTCTCCTAGTTCTTCTGAATTACGTTTGTTCATCTGAATATTGTAATACAGAAAGTGTTATAATTGAAATTAATTTTAAAATATTTTAGCTATGCTTCAGAAATGTTGCTTCTATATCAATATTTGAATTATTTTTTTAATGTTAGATTTCAAAATCAAAAGCCATCTATGTGTTTTTGTTGTTTCTCTCCTTTAAGTAGCTATTGTTTGTCACACCTGCATGATGAAAAATGCTAAGTTTACGTTAGAAATTAGGAGAAAGAAAATTTGGTTCCTTTCTGACTTCATTTCTCTCCTATTTGGAATGTGAAAACCCTATAGAACCTGAAAAACAAAAACAGAAGCCAGCAAAATCAGTGACCCTTTTCAAAGATTTTTGGCTATAGATAAAGAGAGGGGAAGGAAAATCTCACAGCAAGATACAGAGTGTGTTTGAGAAAGATTTAGAAAGCTGTTGTGTATTTTCGATTACTTTTTGAGTTGTACTGCTCATAGTTGAAAACTACATGTAAGGATTACATAGCAGGCATTCTACTACTTCCCAAGTTTTAAATTATGTCACAAGTTATGCAGTAAACTTTATTGCTTTCTGTGCTTAATGTATTTTTCTCAAAGTAAAACTAATGATAATGTAATTACAAATGAGAGAGAAGACAAACAAAAAAATATTCAGTGACTCTTCAGGATAATAGCCTGTGATCTATAGAATTACCATATTAAAATTGTCAGTTGCAGGGTTCTCTTAATTTGAGGGACCTTACTAAAAAGCAAACACCATCTTCACAAACATGAGGGAGAAACTCAGTATCTATTTCTCTATCAGTGAATCACAGAAAGGAAAACATTGCTGAGGAAAATATACAGACAACTATTACTGCTTCTCAAGATCAAGGAAGAAAATATGTACAATTCTGCATTTTAATTCAAAATTAATTTAAGAAAACTTACATCCTTTCAAATGCAGTTTATGTGCTGTAGAAGTGTAGCCTAAGGTAGGAGCTGGGCCAAATGGCATGCATATTCAAAAATCAGGGCCCTCTTTGCTTGTAGATTAGCTGTACAATGTACTAGCAATTGCTAAAATTACAGCAGTGAAATCAATGAAAATGTTTAGTGGCTGAAATACTGATGAGGCAAATAGTCATCTGTTCGACCTTCCTTTTAATGGCAAGTGTTGTCTGAGGAATGGATATTGATTATCCATCCCTCATTTTGCAGAAATAACTGGTGTTGAACACAAAATTGGCCTATGAGATCAGTGGGTCTTTGGACTACAGCTCAAGGAAAGCAGTAAAAACCTTTTGCTCTTGGTTTAAAACAGCAAAAAAAGTCAGGTTGATTGCACTACTGTTGTCTGCACTGAAGAGGCAGTGCAAGGGGTGTCTTATATTTTGTCCCCAACTAAAGAAGCAGGAGGTAGGAATTTTCGTGCTGGAAGGTCATAGAAACATAGAAATGAGAGAGACTCTGAGATAGCCACTCCATTCTGATGTATATTTCTCTAACTGTGTAGGAGATTCCAAAGCCTCCCTGGTAACTTAATTCGCTCTTTTATTGCCTTCCTGGTTTTAAGAAGTTTCACAGTATGCAGTCACATTCCAGTTTACTCCAGAGTATGCTGGTGCATTTTCTCTTGCACAGTGAAGATAGAAAACAATCACTTATCATATTATTCACCTATTAGAAGATTATTGTTCCCCTGCTGTCTCTTTTTTCTGCACCAAATACCACCAAATAATCCAGTCTTTGGTTATAAAATGTGGTTTCTTACTGTCTTGTTTTGTTTCCAAATGACCTGTATTCCTCACTGAGTTGGGTCCAAATCATTTGCCAGGAAGAATGTGCCTTATATAGTCTTAGAATTGTTGAAATGGTTGTTTGAAAAGCTCAATTTGAGGTTTAAGATTACTTGTTGATTAAAGGGTAGTTGTCATTCCTTGAAAAGTGTTCTGAAACATTTGGAAAACAGGTTAAATGGAGTTAGAGTGCCGTTGAAAAATGTAATGATTAGTGATTTAGTTGGATGAGGAAATAATAATATGAATAGGTGGGCTTTTATGATGCACCAAAAGATGGGAAATTTAACACTTTCCATGTATACTTAAAGATTGGCTTACTAAAATCAGTAAGCCACTGTTGATTTAATGGCACACCTTGGGAAACTGTTATTCCCTCCTCCAGCAAGAACCATCTATCCCTATACACCTTTCAAAAACACTTCCCTGTCTGCCGCTTGCTCTGGGTCAGATGACATGAGGCCAGGCTGGATGAGGCTTTGAGCAACCTGGTCTGGTGGAAGGTGTCCCTGCCCATGGCAGGGGGGTTGGAACTAAATGGTCTTTAAGGGCCCTTCCAACCCAAACCATCCTGTGATTCTATGATTCTATGGCAAAGGAAAAGTTATGTTATATCATAAGCTATTCGCCAAGACCTCAAGATCCAACCTCTCAAGATTATGTCTGTTTAAGTGTGTTTAATGAAAATTCTGAGATACAAGGGTCTTTTAAATTGTATGTACATGTATGTATACTGTGATTTCTGGAACTCTGCACAGACCACACCTGTGTCTTCTATTTGTAAAGGTAAAGTCGATGAGGAGGAGATCATGCTGTTCAGACATGCTGCTCTGGTGCACCTGCTGGTCACAGTTCGAGATCTTCTATTAACGTGTGGCTTGGACACAGCACTAGGTTTGTTTCTAGCAGTGAATAATAATACCCAGAAACCCAATGCTTTGTATGTATCCCATATTTTGTGTTTGTAGGCTGTGATTCTTTGCCAGCATGGCTTCAAGATGATACTCAACCCTCTTTTCTTCCTTACTTCTATTCCATCATTAGAAATTAATTCACTGTAGATTGTACTTCGGTTGTGTGTATGCTCAGTTTGTGACTAATACACCACTGTTTATTACACGGATTTGCCTAAGAAATGTTCATATGAACTTCCACATATATAACGTGTTGTCATGCATCTCAGAATGACACATTTTATTTAGAATCTCTGTGTGGAATCTGAGAAACATGCAAAAAAGGGCAGGTCCTTTGTTGTTTACATTCCACCTTCTATGAGTGCGGAACACTTTCCACCTAAAGATATTCTTAGGCTCCTTGGAGATGAGATACTTAAAACTGAGGGCATTTTAAGCAAAATCTGAAATATTTTCTAAGATATCACAAGGCCAGAAATTTGAAGTTACAGTCCAATTGTTAGCACTAGACTCACACAGAAGCTTTTTTTTGAGTTTTTCTGGTCTTAATACTATTCAGATTTGGGATATGAATATTCATTATAGCCCAATTTTGTGCCTGAAATGATAATGCCGTGTTTGTCAAGTTCCCATCATTGTGTAACGTGAATTTGCAAGTAGATCTATTGGAATAGATTCATAAGGAGCTAAAGTCAGCTTTTATGAATGCCCTAAGAAAGTCAGGCTTCCTCTGACTTTGTAGGGAATTAGGTGGTTCAGAGCATCTAACATCAGTCACTGAATTATCCCTTGATGGAGAGCGTTTCCTTAAAATTGATGTTAAATTAAAAACATCTACCATAAACAGAACTTTAAATTCAGTATTCACTTGAATATTTCTAGCAATAAAAGAGTAGGCAGAAAAATACAGAATGAATATGTAAGTAGAATCCTAAGTAGAATTCTTTTCTACAGTTACTATAAACAATGTAGGAGGATGGGAGGGAGACAGATGAGCAGTTCTTCCTCCACCGGTATTGTAACAAAAGCACTCCTGGATGATACTTCAGATTTGCACAGCACCCATCCTTCCAGATCCCAGCCACACTTCACGCAGGAAACTGCACAAGTAAAAATGATCTGAAAAAAGCTGAGAAAATTGAGCCGGATACTACATAGGCCCTCACTACTGCGGTGATGTTGTGCTGTGCTGTGTGATTCATCACAGTTATCTTAGATGTATTTTTTCTTCATGCATTTTCAAATAAACCCAGCATTGTTCACTGTTTACATACAATAGGCATCATTCAGACTTGAGAAATAGCTGGGAAGATATGAAGAGTGAAAACACAGGACAAGTAAAGCTTTGGACAGTGGTAATATAAAGTTGTTATTTAGTGTAAACCATATGGACTAGTTAAACACAACAGTGCTGCTGCTGGTATCTCCAGCTATAGAATGCAGTGTTCTGTGATTCTGGCTGGAGCCATATAGCAGGTACGACAGGAGGCACTGTAGTACCTGCTATATGCAGATACTTGTAAGCAGATATATATGCTTTATAGTTAGCGTTACAAAGGCCACTTATGTACCTGATTAGTAGCAGTAGTATCCTTCTGTGTTGGTGAGCCATTACATTTTTATCTTTTTGTGCAGGATTTTAAAGATTTTTTTTAAAGATTTTTTTTAAAGATTTGCAGAGATTTTTTTTTTAAGATTTTAGATTTATATGTAGATTAAACAGAAACCTTGGCTATAACCTTTTGCCACTGCAATCACTTCTCTTTTTTTTTTGCATTATTAACAGGATATTTGTCCAAGGCAAAGGATATCTATAAAAACATTTTAGAATCCTGTTTGAATAACATCTGGAGGCAATTGAAGATTGTACAGTACAGCAGCCAGAAAAAGCATGAAACAAATCCCAAAATAGCAGAGCTTCAGCATCAGATGTTAAATTGGATGCAAAGTTACGGAGAGGAACACAGTGTTAAGGTTAACAATGTAAACAGTTTCTCTGAGAAAACTGTTCCAAACTATGTGAATAATTACAAAACCATCTTTCAACTATGCTTGATTTATGGAAAAAGGTTTATAATTACCCTTCCAACCCACAGTATCCATTAAGTAAGGGTAACATAAAGTTTAAGACCTCTATCAGGAACAGTGCAGGTTTCTGTTTGGTCAACTCTCACCGTGTTGCATGACTGAAGTAACATGCATATGAGTTCTAACATTGCCAGGGTTTCATCTTGTTGCAGATGGTTTTGTAACTGCTAAATTAAAAAAATATACAGGTAAGTATATTGTATCACATCACTTACTGAAAATTATATGATAAACTTTTATTTGAAGGCCTCAATCTTCTGGTCCAAAGAGGATCATGGCACAAGTCAGGATTGTGTACTTGTGCAGTGTGGCTCAGAGCACACACAGCATGGAGTATATGGGTATAGTTACCCACAGACAACCTCTGCGTAACCCATGTATCAGGCCAATCTCCTGTCCTTATAATTATATAAAAAGCAAATATCCATAAGTGAGAGTTGTAGCATGGAGGATTGAGTTGTGGAGAAGATTCCAGTAATCCAAAGATTTTTTTTTTTTCTGGGTATGTGAATGTTTTGGGTGATACCATGCAGTGCAAAACATCATTTTCCTTTGCAGAATTTTTATTATTTGTTTACAGAATTCTTATCATATAATGAAACAGAAGGGATATATATATTTTTTTAAGTGTCCTGACTGTTTGGAATGGAATTTATGGTGCTGAACACACAGTCTAAAAAGACGAATCTTCAAGCTTACTTCCATTTATTTTAACTTTTTTCCATACTTCACTTCCTGGACCTTTCTTGCCCTTCTGTTTCTGTTAAGAGTTGCACTAAGAACTCTGAACATATTTTAATTAAATTTTCCCGATGAGAAAAATACAAAAGCCCATTCTACACCCTTTTAGGATTTAAAATGGAAAAGTAACCAAAACAAAATGGTAATGATTCTCTTGGTGCCTGTCCTTCAGTAGACCCTAGTTCTGATAAACTCATAGACTGATTTCAGCATCATTTTCTATTAAAAAATATCACATTTTGCTTTGTGGTACTAGGATTATGCTGTACTAGGAGACGTGACAACTTCATCATCTGAATGTCAGCTCAGTGACAATTTTGCTTTCTTTGGAACTCCACTAGATACAATTTTTAAAATTTAACAATAACTATCAATCTAAAGTTTGCTTGCTTGACTTAAAGTTAAGGTCATGCACACATACCCATGCAGTGTAAGAATATATGTGTTTTTATTCACAACTATAAGATTTTTTACAGTTCCTTAACATTCAGAGACAAGTTTCAGTGAGCCAGAATAGGCAGAAGGAGTATTCTGTTTTCAATAGGAAGTAGAAGTATTGAATAAGCCATTTCCCATCCTATCACATCACATCAGCATCCACTAATATGGTGTGAAATATGATAATCTGGTTATCCTTTTATTAGCCAAGATGGTATTTGATGCAGGATTATAGGGAACATTTCCTTTGTAAGCAAGAAGTTGCTACAGGAATAGAATAAACCGAACTTTTTGTTTCATTATTTTTTGTACTCATGATCAGATAGAACATGACTAGAAATGTCATCTAGCTCAAAACAACATGTAATGAGTGCGCTGTTGTATCGTGTGTGCAAAAGCAGCTCTGCATTTTGAAATGCAGTTGTCGAAAACTGCTTTGAAAGGAGACGGTGGGTTGTCGGGGCCTGTTCTGTGCACCAGCATATGGAAAAGGAAATCTGCCTTAAGCCTGTCAGGCTGATCAATATCCAGAAGTTCAGAGGTGAAAAAGGATTCTCGGCCATGAATTGGCAGGGCTCATCAAC